ACCAGGACAGTGTCTGCTGCCCTGAGCCCCACGGCAGGTCTTAGATTGCAGCTCTAAACCATCACTGCTAGGCTGGTCTGCCACTGCTCTAAGCCTGGATCCTGACACCCGGCTAAAACAGACTACAACTGGGGTCATGCTGCTGCTGACCTGTGACTATCCTACTGGGACCAGAGATGAGAATTTGACCACTATCTCCAGACTGTGCTACTGTGCATCCTGCCCCCTGACCCCAATCTACCACTGCACCTTATCATCTCAAGGCCTATGCCATTGCTGCATCCATGCATGCTGGCCAGAGTCACTAGAGTGAGGCCCTGAGACCCAAGTCCCAGTTTCATGGGAGAGCGGCACATGCATGCACCCCCAGACACCAGTACCAAAGACACAGCAAGTGCACCTGTGTCCCTGGACTCAAGCAATGTAGTAATTCTGCATGCACCTGCTTCTATAACCATAGCTCTGATACTGCTCTGTGCCAGCATGCCAGGCCAGAAGCCAAGAATTCCCTCTCCTAGGACTTCCTCCCAAGGGCAAAAAGGGAGAATAGGAAGACCCCAGCAGTTTTCGCTTTGGAAGATCCCAAAAGCCTTACCTGCCTCTGCTACACGCAAGATCTCTGAAGTATTCGCCAACAGAAGATCTCTGCAGTAGAGCCAATGTCAACCTCAGCCAATGGAGCTGCATGAAGACTATGTCACTGGACTATCTCAAGACCAAAGATGCTGCATCCTACCCAGCTGGGCCCTCAGCAGTCACATCCAGATAAAAGACTTTCCCCACTAAAGTCAATCTATCATAGAATTATGTAAGCTGAAAAGGACACTAATTAGTAACATGAAAACATACATCTGAAGGGAGAAATGGATAGCAATTCAACAGTAGGGGAACTCAATACCTCACTTTCAACAATGGATAGATCATCCAGACAGAAAATCAATAGTGAATAATATACTTTAATGATACTTTAGACCAAATGGACCTAATATACATATACACACCATTCCATCCAATAGCAGCAGAAAACATATTCTTCTCAAGTCTACATGGAACATTCTCCAGGTCTGATCACAAGACAGAGCACAAAATATGTCTTAGCATATGGAAATCATACTAAGATGGAAATCACACTAAATATCTTTTCTGGCCACAACAGTATGAAACTATGAATCAATTACAGAAGGAAAGCTGAAAAATTTACAAATATATGGAGAATAAATAACATGCCCATGAACAACCAATGGGTCAAAAATTAATCAAAAGGAAAATCAAGAAATATCATCAAGCAAACTAAAATGGAAACAAAACATATCAAAACCTATGGCATGCACCAAAAGCAATTTAAGGGGGAAGTTTATAATAATAAATGCCTACATTGAGAAGCAAGAAAGATCACAAATAAACAATGTCACATTATAACTCAAGGAACAAGAATAAGAACAAACAAAGCCCAAAGTTAGTAGCAGAAAGGAAATAACAAAAATTAGAACAGAAATAAATGAAATAGAGACCAGAAAAGCAATAGAAAAGATTAAAGAAACTAAAAGTAGGTTCTTAGAAAGATTTTTTAAAAATTGACAAACCTTTAGCTAAACTCACCAAGAAAAGAAAAGTGAGGACTGAAATGGAAAAAAAAAATTATACATGAAAGAGGAGACATTATGGCTGATCCCACAAAAATACAAAGGCTCATGAGCAACTACTATGATCAATTACATACAAACAATTTAGTCAACCTAGAAAAGATGGATAAATTCTTAGAAATATGCCACTTACAAAGACTGAATCATGACAAAATAGAAAATCTGGACAGATTAATAGTACAAAGATCGAATCAACAATCAATAATCTCCCAACACAAAAATCCCAGGACCAGGTAGTTTCACTAGTGACTTCTACCCAGTATTCAAAGAAGAATTAATACCAATCCTTCTCAAACTCTGTCAAAAAACTGAAGAAGAGAGAACACTTCCAAATTCATTTTATAAGACCAGTATTACCTAGTACCAAAGCCAGATACTACAAGAAAAGAAAATTACAGATCAATATTCCTCAAGATTATAGCTGCAAAAATTCTCAACAAAATATTGGGAAACCAAATTCAACAGCACTTTCAAAGGATCATGCACCACGATCAAGTGGGGTTTATTCTGGGAATGCAAGGATGTTTTAACAAAGGCAAATCAATCGACATAATGTACCATATTAATGAAATGAAACAAAAAAAATCATATAATCATTTTAATATGTAAAAAAAGCACTTGACAAAATACAAACTCCTTCATAATAAAACTGCTTTAAAAATTTGGTACAGAAGTAATGTTCCTCAGCATAATAAAGGCAAATATGACAAACCCACAGCTCATATCATCCTCAACAGTGAAAAGTTAAAATCCATTCCTCTAACATCTGGAACAAAATAGAGATGCCCACTCTCTCCATTTCTATTCTTCATAGTATTGGAAGTCCTAACCATAGAAATTAGGCAAGAAAGAGAAATAAAGGCATCCAAATTGGAAGGGAAGGAGTAAAATTATCCCTGTTTGCAGATGACATGATCTTTTATATAAAAAGCCCTGACTCTACCAAAACACTGCTAAAATAAATGATTTATGTAAATTTGCAAAATACAAAACCCACATATATACATATATGTATGTGTGTGTATATATATATATATATATATATATATGTATGTTACATTTCTGTACACTAACAATAAACCATCTCCAAGAGAAATTGAGAGGAATCCATTTTGCAATAACATGGAAAACAGTAAAATACTTCTGAATAAATTTAACCAAAGAGGTATAAGACCTATGCATTAAAAACTCTAAGACATTGATGAAAGAGACTGAAGAAGACACAAATAAATGGAAACATACCCTTTGTTCTTGAATTGGAAGACTTAATATTGTGAAAATGTCTGTACTACCCAAATCAATCTACAGATTCAATGCAATCTTTATCAAAATTCTATGACATATATCACAGAAACAGAAAAAAAAAAATGTGTCCTAAACTTTGATCATGCAAAGTCAAAGCTAGCCTGAGAAAGAAGAACAAAGCAGGAGGCATCACATTACCTGATTTCAAGCATATTACAAAACTACAGTAATCAATAGAGTATGATACTGGCATAAAAACAAACACATAGACCGGTGTAAAAAAATAAAGAGCCCAGATATAAATCCATGCATATAAGGTCAATTAATTTTTGACAAGGGAACAAGAATGCACAATGGGAAAATGACAGCCTCTTCAATAAATGATGTCAGAAAAACTGGACAGCCACATGAAAAGAATGAAACTGGATCCCTAGCTTACACCACTCACAAAAAATTAATTTGAAATGGGTCAAAGACTTAAATGTATGACCTGAAACTGTAAAACTTCTGGGATATAGGGGAAAAGATCCTTGTTAATGATTTCTTGTATAAGACACCAAACATACAGGCAACAAAAACTAAAATAAACAAGTGGGACTACATTAAAGAGCTTCTGCACATGAAAAGAAATAAAAAATTGAAAGAAGCAACCTAAAGAATGGGAGGAAATATTCCCAAACAATATATCTGATAGGAGTTAATATCCCAGATATATAAAGAATTCAAAGAACTCAACAGCAAAAAAAGAAAGAAAGAAAGAAAGAAAGAAAGAAAGAAAGAAAGAAAGAAAGAAAGAAAGAAAGAAAGAAAGAAAGAAAAGAAAAAAAGCAAACTAGATGCAACTAAAAAAATGGGCAATGAAGTTGAATAGATATTTTTCTAAAGAAGACATACAAATATTACTCCGCACCTATTACAATACCTTTTATCAAAAAGACAAAAGATAAATGTTGGTAAGGATGTGGAAAAGAGGGAACCCTTATAGGCTACTGTGAGAATGTAAAATGGTATACCCATTAAAGAAAACAGTAAGGAAGTTCCTTAAAAATTTAAAAATTGAACTACCATCTATCTGATCCAGCAATCCCACTGCTAGTTATGTAGCTGAAGGACTTGAAATCTGTAGTTCAAAGAGATCTGTGCACACCCACAGTTATTGCAACATTATTCTTGATAGCACAGATATGGGAACAACTTAAGTATCTACAGATAAGTAGATAAATAAATGGATTATACACACACACATACTATTCAGCCATGAGAAATAAGGAATGTTCCCTTTTGTAATATGAATAGAATTTGAGGGCATTATAATAATTGAAAAGTCAGGCAGAGAAAGACAAAAACTGTACAATATTACTTATATGCAGAATCTAAAACAGCTGAATTTGTAAAAAAACAGTACAATGGTAGTTACCAGGACCTAGGAGATGGGTTACTGGGGAGATGTTATTTAAGAGTAGTAATTTGCAACTAATAGAGAAATAAGTTCTGGAGAGCTAACTCACAGCATAGTGATTATGGTCAACAATACAATTTTATAAGTTTCAAAGTTGCTAAGAGAATAGATCTTAATTGTTCTCATCATTAAAAAAAGATAATTATGTGATGTGATAGAGGTGTTAGTTCACACTACTACAGCAATGATGATACAATGTAGAAATACAAAGAAACAACAAGTTGTATACCTTAAACTTACAGGCTGTTAAATGTTAATTATATCTCAATTTAAAAATATTCTGGAAGAGCCGTTTATTTAATAAATAAGTGAAAAGGGAAGGAAATGGCTTACTTTTTAAAGAGCTGGTTCAAAAGATAGTATTTTTCCTTGTTCAACACTAACTAGAAGAAGTCAAGATTCAAGTAACCATAATTCAGTAGCCCAAGAAACATGAAAACCTTATAACCATGTCAGAACTTGAATACTTAAGTCTCTTTTTTTATTTGTTCCCATTTTCACTCTTCTCATTTAAAATGTTCAAGAAATACAACCTATGTTTCATTCAATAATTCAGTAACTCTTATGAATAAAACTCAGGTAAATATCAAAAATTTCTTATATATATAGATACAAAAAAGAGTCAATGTTAAAAAATTAATAAAATCTTTTACCTTCTGGATCATAGGTTTGAAAAACTCTCCTGGCTTGTTCTGAAGGAGCCTCAGGTGCAACTAAAGCCATATCCTGAAAGACAGAAAACATGCCATCAACCAGTTACAATATCATGATATTAAAAAAAATAAAACAAATACTAGGCTACAATGAAGAAATAATGAGATGTGGAAGCAGAAGACTGAGTTATATTTAAAATCATAGATTGATGACTAAATAAGTTACAAACTCTCTGGGCTTTAAAAAATAGGAATAATCAACCCTTCAACTATAGAGAGCTGCTGTGAGAATGACATGCGAAACTTTATATAAAAACACAAAGTTTAATATTATAGGGGTAATTACTATAAAAATGCAATCTGCAAAAATTAATGACATACATTTACATTATTGTCCAGTCAAGAATTAATATTACTTAAATATAAAATACACTCTAATTTTCAAATATTTGAAAATTAAATTTAGATATATGAGAGCAAACAATTACATAGCAATGCACTTAAAATGTATTATTTTAGTGAGCATGTTATAGCAAACCTAGCCACAGATCAACATCAATTTCTTCATGTCCAGAATTTTAATTTTTCCTAACTCTAAGGAAATATTGAAAAGACAGGAGTATTTCTTTTTCCTATGTAACTACTTCTCTATCATGACTAAATTCTTTACACAGTGATCAATATTACAATTGAACAAAAACAAGCACAAAATTCAGTGTTATCTTGGATTCCACATATTTAAACTGTTAGGAAATTCTACTGCTTGACTTACATGAATTTAGAATCTAGGCTACAAAAGTTCTCTATTCACAGCTTTAGTTTAAGCCTTTATCTATAATTGTGTTCACTCAGACAAAACTCATCAGAGAACAAGTTCACAAGTATCCTTTTTTACCATCTTGACTCTTTTGTAAAGACATGGGGCATAAATGATAAATACAACCTAAAGTGCTGTTCCTCTGTAGAGACAAATTTTTATAAGAAATGTAGTGATTAACTTGTGTTCCAATCAGCTCACCTTTACTTCACAGATGAAGGAAAACTGTAAGAATCAATTCTAATAGTTCTTACCTAACCATGAAATTAGGTGCCTGAGCACCCTAATACTATGTTCAGTTTACATGGGAATATAAATCAAATGGGAATGGGAATTAAAATAAGGCAATCTACGCAAGCTCTTACATATTTTTTAATTACTAGAAGACAAAGTAAAAATATTCTGATTATTTTAAAATATAATACACAGTAAAGTTTGGTTACGTGTAATTATTTCCCATTTACCATCCCTTAATTGCTACTTTTAGGTCTCCTTTTCAATATAATTTTGCAGAAAATATGCCTATCAAGTGCCATGTTTTAGCTGGCCTAACTTACAGTGTCTTTCCAATTTTATGACCCAGTCCCTTATTGCTGGATACTTGGACTGTATAATCTTTTGCTATTATAAAAAATGCTGCAACAAATAAATCTGAATGTGTAATTTCATACATGTGCTATTGTATCTGTAGGACAGAGCTCCAGAGTAGGACTGCCGGGTCAAAGGAATAGTTCATTTAAAATTTTGGTAATACTGCCAGATTCTTGGATTGTGTTTATTCATTTAACCTATTTTGAATAATATTTCTTAAAACTCTTTCCTTCTTCTACTATATCAGCAATATAGCCTTAGCTCCATAGTTAATTTTGTATCAAAGCTAGGACTATAGCATCAGCTCTCAGTATTAAGGAGAAATGGCTAACACTGGGGCTATTATTATTATTCCTTAGCATCTCTTATTACTCGCAAAACTTAATTGCAAAAAATTCTACATATATTCTACTATAAGCTTTAGATCCCGTAACTATTTCCAATTCTACTTATTTCTTTTTTAAATTTTTCGCTTGAAAGAGCTGTTGGAATTTGTGCATAAACACCATACCTAAAATTCTGGCTGAGGAGAAGGTATACAGTAGTGCATGAGATTTTAGGCAGAGGGGAATTTGCAAGGGTACAAGATGAGCCTACACTCATTCATTCTATTCAACAACAGTTGCATTTCAACCTTCCTGTGTTGCCAGTAAGTGATATGGAAATGATTGAAATGAGTTTTAAAACACTACTTTGACTTTTCTAAATATTACTTAATACTATGATCTAAATAGAGGGAAAGAAAATATTGTTTTCCCGGGCTAATAGAGCAAAAGATTCTTTTTGAGGGAAGAGGTGGCAGAGAATATAATTAAAGCATTACTTTAATATTCCTATTGACTGAAGTTATAGGACATTACCAGTGTTTTTAAAGTTAGGGGAACAAGGATATTCCAGTTTTAGCCACAGAATGAGGTTTATATCAAATGCTCCAGCATTAAAGATTTCAAAAAATGCAGGAGCATAAACAAGAATTTAAAGTCAACTACCTGATGCCTTGCCTATAAGTTCCAAGTGCTCCAAAAAAAAAAAAAGTGTGCTAATATAGAAAGGAGTTAAAGTAGACTTAATGAAAAGTTCACTGGATATCTCTTGCTCTGGTTATGCATACATAAAAAACTTAGGCTTTAGTAAACACGCTATTATTCTTGTTTGAATAGTCTACATACGCTGGCCTAGAACTTGAAACTTGGGAAAAACTCCTGATGTGCTCTGGTTTAACAAATGCTCATTTAGAAAAGAAGCTGGCTTTTTTTCCTATAATTAGTGGCATGATTTGGCCTGTTGCCCATGATTTGCTGACCTTCTATTTAGAGAATATATGATATGTCTTCCCCAAATGCTCTAACACTGATTAAACATGCCTTTGTTTGGATACACCTGGAGATATAAAGATATCCTAATCACATTAACAGGTTTAACAAAGAAAATATTTTGGCTCCCATCTGAAAGAGAAAATTCTAGCTAGAAGGAGCAGAATCACAAAAGGCAGGGAGAATAAGTTACCACAGCATTCGGGGGAACTTAAAAAATTGAAGATGACTGTGAGCTGTGACAGAAAAGTAGTTAGGAAGGGAAATCAGCTTTGATGGAAGAATGAATTTGATTTTGAACATTCAGAGTCTGGAGGTGATAGTTAAAAATCCAAGTAGAGCTCATGGAGTTATCTTTTTTAAAAATAACATTTAAAAAATTTTTTTTCAATTACAGTTTACATTCAATATTATTTTATATTAGTTTCAGGTGGACAGCTTAAAGGTTAGACATTTATGGAGCTATCTAATTCTTGGCACACTGTGAACACTCCATGGCTGCCAGCTGTATGCTTCTTCTAGGCCAGTAGAACTAAGACATGTGCACCAGAGGAGATTAGGGCTAGAGAACCTACCAGGTAAGATACTGAAACAGATGAAAGTAGATTACTTCAAAGACGTCAGAAAAGAGTATTTCTGAAAAGGGATTTAGACAACTTATTGGTTGAAGTTTAGAAGTTTGAAACAAGTATCTTAAAACCCTGCATGTGAAAAAACAACAAAAAACCCACATGTGAACTACCTAAACAGAAGTTCCTTTTTTTCCTCCCAAAATAAAACCCAATGGTATTGGTCAAGTTCCACATCATAAAACCATTAACTATAATTGTCATTACTAATAAAACAAATTATGTCTTGAATGATTCAAAAAACATCTTGCTTTGTTCCTTTGGTCTCAGTGATATACTAACAGATAATTGGCCAGATTCCTTAGGAATTAACTGCTCTTAATCATACCACTTATTTTAAGACATGTTTATATTACAGGAGGGAAAGGGTGGAAAGAAAAGAAAGTATGGCATTAAAAAAAAAGATTACAGTAAATTCTAATGAACGTATTTCAAAAGTTTTCAAGTACATACCAAAAACAGTACAGCCTTCTAAGTTGATTATTGGCTTGCTTATGTTGAGTATTTACAATGCTTTTTAGGTTATTTAGAAAACAATCTCCTAGTTAAAGCTTGTTTAAATCTATATGTTTAACTGCTTCTAGATGAAACTAAAAAAATTACAAAACCATTTTTATCTATTACAGTGTTTGATGCTGGAATCTTATGGTCAAGATGACTGCATAGGCAGACATGGCTCACCTCTTCCCATCACCACATCAAAATTACAGCTAAAATATAGAACAACCATCACTCAGAAATGGCAGAAATCGAGTTGAATGGAGGTCTGACAACTATGAAATTGAGTTGAATGGAGGTCTAACAACTACAGAATTAAAGACACCACATCCATCCAGACTGGTAAGAGGGGCAAAGATGCAGAACGGGCGGATCCCACACCCACGTGTGGTAGATAAAAATTAGGGAGGGATATCTCATGAGCAAGGAGTCCCAGCCCCACACCAGGCCTCCAGCCCAGGGTTCCAGTGCCAGGAAGATAAGTCCCCACAACTTTTGGCAGCAAAAATCAGTGGGGATTGAGTTGGTGGAAGAAAATACTGGAACTCCAAGAAGTTCCTCTTAAAGAACCCACACATGGACTCACTCCCTCTGAGCACTAGGACCCGGGTAGCAGTTTGAAAGGCACCAGTGGTGCACAGGGAGGAACTGAAGTGCCTGGCATCAAGGCAAGCAGAGGTCATTGCCCCTTTTCTAAATCCTCCTCCCACAGAGCCAGCAAGCTGGTGCCATATCTGAGACTGTACCAACCTAACACTGTTTGACCTGCCTTGAAGACCCCAGAGGCTCCACCCCAACCAACTTCTTGGGTCCACCCATGCTCCTTTCCCATATGAATGGCTAGTCTCAGCTCCTGCTTCACAACTTCCTAAATCCTCTCAAACAAGCAACAGCTGGCTGCAGTGAGCCCCAGGCCTCACACCAGCAAGCCTAGACTCACAGCTTTGCTTTGCCTTAGAATCTCTAATTCCTGTACAAGTAGTAGCCACCTCAGATTGCTTTATAGCTCATGCAAGGCGGCCCTGGGCAGGACACAGGAGGGGGCTGACCTTGGCCTACATCACCTGGGTTTATCCCAGAGCCTGTAAACCCAGTGGACAGCTACAGACACGTCAGAGCACTACTACCCTGCCCCCAAACAGCTGAAACTCCATGAAGAGTGGAGGTTGGCGGTAAGTGGTTACAGCCAATCTTTGCAGCTGACTGGCCTGGTAACTCCCTCCCA